TATATAAATTAGTATAGAGAATAGTTTAGATAGTAGTATATAATTTTTTAAGAAACCTGATACAGGCTTATAATTGTAACTATCTAGTATAGGTAAAAAATTCTATATTTAGTTTAATTTTTCTTGTTCTACCTTTACCCTCTTCTTTTTTTTATTTGTTTTTTTATATATTCTCTATACCTCTGTGTTTTATTTATAAAATTTTTTATTTTCTTTCACTTCTCTATAAGAAGATATTATCAGATTGGTGATATCCTATTGTAGGACAGTAGTAAGATGAGCTTTTGGTAGAGTATTATCTTAATTGATTGTATTTCTTTATTGTAGCGTGATTACTTGTAGATATGTGTAGATAATCAGTTAGATTAGATGAGATAACCATAAAGTATAAGATCTAAAATTTTAATGTTTGACTCTCTCTATAGGGATATGATTTGATTAAATAAAAATATTAGTATGATTCGCTTAAGTGAAGCAAAAAAAATTAATTTGATATAATTATTTATATACAAATAAAATTTTTTATAATAATAATTATAAAATTTTAATAATAGAATCAAAATATAATATATATATAAGTTTAGTTAATTACTAAAATAAAATTTTGAATAATATTCTAACTATAGTAAAAAATATTTTATTTAAATATCAATATTTTAATTAAACAAAATCAATAATTTAAATATAATATTTTTTAAACTTTAAATAAAGATATCTTAGTAATTACTTATTTAAAATTAATAAATTTTAAAATTAAAATAAAAAAATTAAAATAAAATTAGAGATAGTGTAAAATAGACAAAATACCAAAAAATATAAATTTTTGGGATATACTTTTTTTAGTACTTTTTTAGAGTTAAAATCAGGGTTTAGTAGTAGATTTTATAATAAACAAAATAAGTAAATTTTAAAAAATTAAATAAAAATCTTTAATTTCATTTTAATCTAATTTTATTATAATCTGTAATATATATTATTAAATTAATATTTAAAATTTTTTAAAAATCTAAATTTTAAAAAATTTTACAACCAAATTTGTCTATATAACAAAAAATAATTTATAAAAAATATTTATTAGAATTTGAATTTTGTAGCTTAGTAGTTAAGTTTTTTTAAAATTTTATTTTATCTTTGATCTTAATTTTGCTTATTTTTATTTAAAACCTTGTTATTTGAAATATTTTGAAACAATAAACTCAATCTTTATTTCTATATCCAATAAAAAAAAACTATTATAAAATACTGTATGTATATAGTCCATAAATGTTTATGTTCATTGCTCTATATTTTCCATGTCCATATTTTGTAAACACTACATATAACAGGAATTTTTCATCAGAGTTAATATTACATGTTCTGCTACACAACACACGGAAGTGGCATTAAATTTGATAAAAATTTGGTATTTTTCATCTCGGCAAATATTGTGTGTATACTTAAATTAGTAATATTATCGTTATATATTAGAATAAAGTGATTGTCAGAAACGTAACCAATAACATTGACAGTCATATGACTTGTCACATATATGGATTACACAAATGGATTATAAAAATTAAACGACAATGAAAAATTTCCGTTTTGACTCAATGTCTCAAGAGTTTAATTAAAATATGATGTCTACTGCTGTGATGTAAACAGATTAAATTCGCATTCACATTTAAACAATCTTACGAGTCGTACAGCACCAAAAGAGTACTATTAAAATAGCAAAACACATATTAGATAATTCTTGCCTTCCTTTGAATGAGTATCAAGTATTCTGCCATCTATACAGTATAGACATGGGTCTTTTTTTTTAAGGAAAAAGGAGCAATCATTCGTAAAAGCAATATATATATATATATACACATTAAAGAAACTATTGCAACGAATCTTAATATAAGAATGGTTAAGGAAGAAAGTGCCACTAAAGTATTTGCATACTTTGTGAATGCATTTCTAATTCTTCGTTCTCGAGGCATCATATCAAATGAGGTAATTAAGGATCAAGAACCATTGAAGGAATTTAGTGCATTAAGGGATCATATCTTTAGAATTGAAGATTCAAATTATCAAGCAAATGCATCTAGCCAAATTACCGATGATAAAAGTGATTTCATTCAATTACATGATGATATTGATAAATTGCATAATAAAATTATTGAATTTGTCACTGATTTGAAAAGTGACATTTGCATACATTCAAATAAGATTTCAGAACTATTACAACACTATAAGTGCGAAGCAGAGACATCAAACCTGCAACCCACACAACTCGTCAAAGAAGTTTTGAAACGCTTAGTAATTGATACAATTATTGACACGGTTAATGAATACTTTGAATCTAATGAAGCAGATGACTTCTATCCTGGAAGTAATGTATTAGGCATATTGTTAAAAAATTTATGCTTATTAACAGTTAAAAAGTCTGATAACGATAACAATATCATAAAAGAAATTCCAATAAAAGAGCGTCAGCAAATTTACTTGTTTCTTAGAAATTTAGTGTTCGATGAAGATGGAAATCACGAGCATTGGTTTATACATAATAGCAAACAACAGCTTATTGATACGATAAATAAATACCGTATCATCAATGATTATTCTAAGAGAAAGGAAATTGAAGATTATGCTTCATCGCTTATTCGTGATGTTATTAACATATTTTATTTTCGAAGATATACACATGAACGAATTATAAATTATATGTTGATTAAAAATGACGAGCCAATAGATCCCTTCTCTGTGAATGAAATTTGGGATGACAATGTCAATATTAATAATTTGGTAGTTCAACTTTGCTCATTTCCACTTTTTGGAACAGATCTAGAAAATCTAGAGAAAAGACAAGTATGGTTTCGGGCACATGTTATTACCAAAGAAAAATCTCTTACGGACTTAAATAAGTTGCTAGAGGCTGATCCAAACAATGTACTTACACTAAAATTACGTGAAGAATTTTATTATAAAATGGGCAAATATGAGGAATCAATTGAAGACTTAACAAAATTATTAAAAATTAATCCAAATAATACACTTGCGTTAAGCAAACGAGGAGCAATTTATCGCAAAATGAAAAGATATGAAGATGCACTAAAAGATTTAAATAAATCGATAGAGATTTACCCATATGATGCATTTGCATTAAGTAACCGTAGTGCAATTTACCGAACGGAGAAAAAATATGTTGAAGCACTTTTAGATTTAAACCAATTATTAGCGATTGAACCGAAAAATGAAGTTGCATTAAGTGATCGTGGTGAAATTTATAGAATTATGAAAAAATACGAAGATGCGCTTTCAGATTTAAATAAATCATTAAAAATTAAACGAGACAACGCAAATGCATTAGCTAATCGTGGTGAAGTTTATCGAATGATGAAAAGTTATGAAGATGCACTTTCAGATTTAGACGCATCATTAACGATTCAACCAAACAATGTGCTTGCGTTAAGTAATCGCGCAGAAATTTATAAATTAAAGAAGAGGTATGGAGATGCGCTTTCAGATTTAAATAAATCATTGGAACTTAAACCAAATAATGCATTTATATTAAGTAATCGTGGTGAAGTCTATCGACTTATGGAAAGATATAATGAATCATTAGCAGATTTCAATAAATTATTAGCAATTGAACCACATAATACATTTACATTAATTAACCGTGGACAAACTTATCTAATGATGAACAGATACGAAGAAGCACTTTCAGATTTAAATAAATCATTAGACATTAAACAAGATAATGCATTTGCACTAAGAATCCGTGGAAAAACTTATCATATGATGAACAGGTACAAAGATGCACTTACAGATCTGGCAAAATCTTTAGAATACGAACCAGATAATGCATTGACATTAAGTATTCGTGGTGATGTTTATCGAATAATTGGCAATTACAAAAAAGCACTTGTAGACCTTAATAAATCATTAGCTATTAAACCAAATGATGCATTTGCATTAAGTGTTCGTGGAGAAGTTTATCGAATAATTGGCGATTATGAAAGAGCGCTTGTAGATTTTGATAAATCATTAGCTATTGAACCGAATGATGCATTTACGTTAAGTAACCGTGGAGTCGTTCTTCGACTTATGGATATGTGTGACTTTGCACTTTTAGATTTAGATGCATCATTAATGATTCAACCAAACAATTTGCTTGCATTAAGTAATCGCGCAGAAATTTATAAATTAAAGAAGAGGTATGGAGATGCGATTTCAGATTTAAACGAATTATTGAAAATTAAACCAAATAATGCATTTATATTAAGTAATCGTGGTGAAGTCTATCGACTTATGGAAAAATATGATGAATCATTAGCAGATTTTAATAAATCATTAGAAATTGAACCAGATAATACATTTACATTAACTAATCGTGGACAAGTTTATCTAATCATGAACAGATATGAAGATGCACTTTCAGATTTAAATCAATCATTAAACATTAAACAAGACAATGCATTTGCACTAAGAATCCGTGGCAAAACTTATCAAATTATGAAAAAGTATGAAGATGCACTTATAGATTTGACAAAATCTTTAGCATTTGAACCAGATAATGCATTTGCATTAAGTATTCGTGGAGAAGTTTATCGAATAATTGGCTATTATGAAAGAGCGCTTGTAGATTTTGATAAATCATTAGCTATTGAACCGAATGATGCGTTTACGTTAAGTAGCCGTGGAGTCGTCCTCCGACTTATGGATAGGTATGATGATGCACATGTAGATTTAAATAAATCATTAATGATTCAACCAAACAATGTACTTGCATTAAGTAATCGCGCAGAAATTTATAAATTAAAGAAGAGATATAAAGATGCGATTTCAGATTTAAACGAATTATTGAAAATTAAACCAGGTAACATACTTGCATTAAATGAACGTGGTGAAATCTATCGATTGGTGAAAAAATATAATGAATCATTAGCAGATTTTAATAAATTATTAGAAATTGAACCAAATAATATATTTACATTAATTAATCGTGGAGAAGCTTATCTAATGATGAACAGATATGAAGATGCACTTTCAGATTTAAATCAATCATTAAACATTGAACAAGGTAATGCATTTGCACTAAGGATCCGTGGCAAAACTTATCAAATGATGAACAAGTATGAAGATGCACTTGCAGATTTGACAAAGTCTTTAGAATTCGAACCAGATAATGCATTAACATTAAGTATTCGTGGTGATGTTTATCGAATAACTGGCGATTATAAGATATCACTTGAAGATCTTAATAAATCATTAGCTGTTAAACCCGATGATGCATTTGCATTAAGTATCCGTGGAGAAGTTTATCGAATAATTGGCAATTACGAAAAGGCACTTGTAGATCTTAATAAATCATTAGCTATTGAGCCAAATGATGCATTTGCATTAAGTAGTCGTGGAATAGTCCTCCGGGTCATGAATAAGTATCGTGATGCACTCTCAGATTTAAACAAATCATTAACAATTAAACTAAATAATATACCTGCATTAAGTAATCGTGGAGCAGTCTTACGAGTTATGAATAGGTATTATGATGCACTCTTGGACTTAAACACTTCATTAGCGACACAACCAAATAATGTATTCGCATTAAGTAATCGTGGCGCAACCTATCAAATGATGAAAGACTATCCACGCTCTATTCTAGATTTAAACAAATCGATAGAACTTGAGCCAGATAATACATTTGCATTAATTAATCGTAGTGTAACGTATCGGATGTTAGAGAGATATGAAGAAGCACTTGCTGATTTAAATAGATTAGAAGAAATTGAGCCGAATAATGCATTTATATTAAGTAGTCGTGGAGAAATTTATCGATTGATGAATAAATATGAGGAGGCACTTTTGGATTTAAATGAATCATTAAAAATTGAACCAAAAAGTGCCTTTGCATTAAGTATTCGTGGGATGACTTACTTACTTATGAAAAGATACGAAGACGCACTTAATGATTTTAGCGAATTATTGGAGATCGAACCTAACAATGTGTTTGCATTAAACAATCGCGGAATAATTTATCGTATATTACATAAGTATGATCAATCACTTTTAGACCTCCACAAATCGCTAATGATCGAACCACTTAATTCATTTACATTAAGACAACGTGGAATGACCCTTTATATGTTGAAAAAGTATAAAAGTGCATTGCATGATTTATCCAAAACAATAATACCAGAAATTAAAAGCCATGCATCTATTTCAAGTGACCGTGAAGAATGGTAAGTATATTGGGCGATTAAAAAGATATTAAACAAAGTATCAACCATAATGCTCTCACATTGAATAAATTATGCTCATAAATAATAAAGTAACGCAATATTGTGAATAGATTTGTTTTTAAATTCTGTGAATTTAACATTGCTATCACATATTGTAATAAAGAATAGGATATTATAAATGTTTAACACAACTTGCTAAAATGTACCAAACTTTTTGAAACTCTAAGATCGTTCAAACATTTGTATATTATCTGTGCACACCATAGAGCAATTATAATCTTTCTTTTCTACTTTGTTTTTATATTAACTTTGCAATCATCAATAAAACCAGAATTTTAATGTAACTAAAAATATTAACGTTAAGGATATAGTATATGTCATATAAATATCTCTAGAATTTTAAACAAATTACCGTATATTACCGAATAGAAGCTATCCCCGAATAAAAGCTACCTCCTCGATTTTGGATTAAAAATTTGGAGGAAGTTATTATGTTTTAATAATAAAATTGGACCCGAATAGAAGCTACTCCCTCTTTTTAGTCCGAAAAACTCTCAAAATTTTGGTAGCTTCTATTCGGTAATATACGGTATTTATTATTAGTTAAGCTTTACCCCTCGTCTATTATATGAGTGCCATCAAATGAAAACCTATCATTGGGCTTTCAATTAGACTGATTGTGTCCGATACAAAATATAATTGAAAGTCGATGATAGGTTTTCCCTTGGCAACGCTCATATTTTAAATAATAATTCTATCCTATCTCTAGTCAACACAACCTTTATTAGAAGCACCATGACATTTAGTTCATATCATTAATACTATACCATTCGTACAGTACATATTGATTTAATAATTAAGCAATTCTTGAACGTGTGCTAGGTTGGTGGCGCATTAGTCAGTCCAAGTAACGTACAGTACAAAACTCGGAATAGCGCCCACCTGCACGTTAATTAAGCGTTATGTGCGTTATTTCGAAATATAGATTAAATAAACACCCCTTAATTATAATAAGTATAGTAAGGAATGAAAAGTGCTCCTGAACTGAATCTTGTACCATTATAATTATCTCAGCCTGAAGAACAACTTTTATTAGAGCGCAAAAGGAGGTTTACTTAGTACCAAATCCAGTTCCGGTGCACTTTTTATTTTTTATTTTTTTTATAGGGGGATGCGCGCTAATCCGAGACGCATCTGGGCGTTAATTCGGAGTAGATTAGTGGGTCCACCAAAATTCAGCAAACGACCTGCAGATCGCCGCCGACCCATCATCGGGATTTACTTAT